GTTTCAAAATGATTGCCACAATGAGTCTAGTTACCACCTGTCACCAAAGAAATATATTACTTTATTATTAACTTTATTCTCCACACTGTATATTTCATACCTATCACTCATTTATTTTGTAACTGAAAGTTAGTACCTCTTCATCTCTCTCATCTATTTATCTCCTCCCCACACCTTCCTCCCCTCTGGCAACCATCTATTTGTCCTCTGTAACTCGTGCTCTGTTTCTGTTTTTTGTTCATTCATGTTTTTTAGGATCCCGCATATAAGTGAAACCATTCAGTATGTGTCTTTCTCTGTCTGACTTAGCATAACACCCTCTAGGTCTATCCATGTTGTCATAAATAGCAAGATTTCATTCTCCTTTATGGCAAAGTAATATTCTATTTTATATACTATATATATTGTGTATATATATATCTCACATCTTCTTTATCAATTTGTCTATCGGTGAACACTTAGGTTACTTCCGTATCTTGGCTATGGTAAATAATGCTGCAGTGAACATACAGGTGCATGTGTGTTTTTGAATTAGTGTTTTTGTTTTCTTTGGATACATACCCAGGATTGGAAGTGCTAGATCATTTGAAAGTTCTATTTTGAATTTTTTGAGGAACTTCCATACCATTTTCTATAATGGATGCACCAATTTACATTCCCTACAACAGTGTACAGGGGTTCATTTTTTCCATATCCTTGCAAATATTTATTTGTTATACATTTGATAATATCCATTCTAACAGATGTAAGGTGATATCTCATTGTGGTTTTCCTTTGCATTTCCCTCATGATTAGTGATTTTGAGTATCTTTTCATGTGTCTCTGAGCCATCTTTTGTCTTCTTTGGGAAAATATCTATTAAAGTCTTCTGCCCAATATTTACTTGGGCTGTTTGTTTTTTTGATGTTCAGTTGTATGACTTCTTTGTATATTTTGAACATTAACTCCTTATCAGGTATATAATTTGCAATTATCTTTTCTTCCTTCAGTAACTGTTCTTCTCATTTTGTTGATGATTTTCTTCGCTGTGAAACAGCTTTTTAGTTTCATATAGTCCCATTTGTTTATTTCTGCTTTTGTTTCCCTTGCCTGAGAAGACATATCAAATAAAAATTACCAAGATCAATGTCAAAGAGCATACTGCCTATGTTTTCTTCTAGGAGTTTTATGGTTTGGGGTGTTAAATTTAAGTCCTTAATCCACTTCGAGCTTAGTTTTTTAATATGGTGTGAGAAAGTAGTCCAGTTTGATTCTTTTGCACATAGCTGTCCGGTTTTCCCAACACCATGTACTGAAGAGGCTGTCTTTTCCCATTGTATGTTTTGCCTCCCTTGTAGATTAATTGACCATATAAGTTTCAGTTCATTTCTGGGCTCTCTATTCCGTTGCATTGATCTATGAGTCTGTTTTTGTGCCAGTACTATACTGTTTTAATTCCTGAAGCTTTGAAGTATAGATTAGAGTGTGATACCCATATTTTTGTTCTTTGTTCTCAAGATTATAGCTATTCGGGATGAGGATGGCTCCCAGGTTTCTGACATAGACACCAGGGTTGCTAGTAAGGACATGAATTAAGAGAAAATTGAGGGGAAAAAAGTAGTATTCTGCAATCAGGAGAGGGAGTAACATGTTATGTTTTGAACAACCTAGGTGTTAATTACTTGTGGTATGAGAAAGTGATTTTATTTTTGTTTGTTTGTTTTCTTTTCTTTTCTTTTAACATTTTTATTGAGTTATAGCCATTTTACAATGTTGTGTCAAATTCCAGTGTAGAGCAAACTTTTTCAGTTATACATGAATATATATATATTTATTGTCACTTTTTTTCTCTGTGAGTTACCATAAGATCTTGTATGTATTTCCCTGTGCTATACAA